TTAACAATTTCCTTGAGGTTTACACCGAAGGGATCAATAAAGTTGTATTCTATTCTGTTTTATTCTATTCTATTCTAAACCATCAAGATAAAGTGTACAAGGAACATAAACACATCTTTAAACATACATTTCAAAAGCAATAAAAGCCCTAAACTAAATGTTAAAGTGCAGTTTTAAACATTCAGAAGCCTCAGATTTGGTTCAACCAAAGGCAGACAAACAGAAAAGTCCTCAGCTCTGATTAAAAGAACTGAAAGTTGCAGCAGACTTGCACTTTTCTGGGAGTTTGTTAAGGATATGTGATGCGTAAAAAGTGAAAGCTGCCTGTTTTGTTTTGATAGAAAGTAGACCTGCTCCAGACAACCTGATGGGTCAGAATGTCCGGATCAGAAATGTATTTTGGCCCTAAATCATTCAGTACTTTATAAACCAACAGCAGTATTTTAAAATCAACTTTTCTGACAGACAAGAAGAAAGTCAGTGTGAAAACCTCAGAACTGGAGCGACGTGATCCACACGAGCTGCAGCCGTCTAATTAGCCGACACTAGTGAAAACACTTACAGTAGTCGAGTGGGCTAAAGACAAATGTATTGATAAGTTTTTCCAAGTCATGACTAGACATGAGCTGTAGGCTGACTTGCTAATTATTCTAATGTGGCTGTTGAGATTCATGTCTGAGTCCATAACCACACGAAGGTTTCTGACTTGGTTTGTGGTTTTTAACATTAACAACCAAAGCTGACTTGTATTCATACTTCTGTGGCGCCAAAAACAATTACTTCAGTTTAGTCGTTGTTTATTTGAGGACAATTCTGGTACACCCAGGCGTTTATTTGTTCAATTGTACTTTCACATAAGTAAAATTTGGAAAGTTTGACGCTGTAACATTCCTTTTCTTTCTCCACTTTCACCAACAAACTGTAAAACTGAATCAGCTGCCAGGTTGAACTTCTCAAAACAAGTGCATGAAAGACTGATGTATAAATACTTGATCAGATCTGCTTTTTAACATTTACATATTTTAATCTTCGACACCCTTCTGATAACCTCCGCTGGCTGAATGTAGTTGATGATAATGCAGGCTGCTGCCTCGAACAGAAATTTGGCAGAAGACTCTTGAAAATCTGTCGATAAAATCTAACAAGGCCAAACTCCTCATGTTGAACTGCAGGTAGCACCTTAATGTGAAGGAAGTCAACAACCCACACTTCTGCAAGAATGAAGTTAGCCAATCTGATTATTAGAAAGGCCTCTGAAATTCAGTTTGTCTTCGTAAGACTGTTTTTCCATTGTTTCTCACAGTGTGAATCACATATTGTGATTTGGATTCACCACCTTTGTCAGCCAACAGTTCAGTCCTCCATCATACACGTACTCAGCATATATTATTAAAAGCAGTGTTGAGAAGTAAAACAACAGCTTTCATGTATTTGTATACATGATGTATTTATATTTCACTTGTACATTTCCATATTCATGCCACCTTTTAATTCCGGGGGCAGCTGTGGCTCAGGTGGTCGGTCAATGATCGGAAGGTCGGCGGTTCGATTCCGCCCTGTAACCTGCGTCATGGTTGTTGTGTCCTTAGGCAAGACACTTCACCACCTTGCCTGGTGTGAATGCATGTGAATGGATTGTTTGCGGTGGTGGTTGGAGGGGCAGAATGGCAGCCACGCCTCTGCCTCAATCGTAGCTACCACCACTGGAATGAATGTGTATGAATGAATAATTGGCAGTGTAAAGCATCTTTGAGTGTCTAGAAAAGCACTTTATATAAATCTGATCAATTATTATTATTATTCTATTGCGCTACAATTCATCTGGCAGGCAAAGTGATAGCTGCCTTTGAAACAGTCATTTGGACCCAACTAATCTTTTTAAGTTAAGTTAATATAGAAGTTGGGTTTTTTTGTTTTAACTGGACATTTGAACTTGAGTTAATGTAATATGAGGTCTTTTGGCTTGAAATGATGTGTTGAATGAATTAGTCCGCACTGTTTAGATTGAAAACTCTCCAGATACTCTTCTTTTATTTGCACATTGATGATGATGATGATGATGATGATGGTGCAAGCTTTCCATACGTCTTTGCTTCATGTTAAACAGTCTGACTCACTGGATGTAGGCTGCAGCAGGTTTGGTTTTCTCCTGCTCTTCCACTAGCTTCATGTTACTGTTCTCTCTTTGATAAACAAAAACCTTAAGACCAGCAGCCCACCACCCTGAAAACATCAAGTTTCGTTCAAGTTCTGGATGCTGCAAAAAGGCCGCCCTGGTTGTTTTTTTTGTGGTAAATCATAACAGTTTTAATCGCACTGCTCATCTTCCTGTATGCAAATGTTCCACCAAAACAGTTCCCCCACCGTTGTTATTTAGAGTTGACCCCATTACTGTTTCCTGGGCACAAGATGATTGCGATTGGTTAAAGAAACACAAACAAGCCAGAGCTTTTGTCCCCTTCACATATCAGAACGAGGACGGATGCAGTCAGACCCTTCTGTCTTCTGGTTATGCGAGACTAGATGTGAAATTAAGTCATGATTGTTATTAAAAAACATACAGTCCACACACCCTTAAGTTTAACAGTCATTGACTTTGCTTCAAGATGTTTTCAGCAGCTGCAGCTTTAATTTTTTGTGTCAAGTAAATAACTGACTCTTCAAAGGGAGAAAACATGAAAAGACAGGAAGTTTGTAACGACTAAACAGTGGATTTAATTTAATATATTAATTATAATTAATTGTTTCCTGAGGTTCAGCTGATTTAACTCAACCAGTTTAGCATTTTTAGAACTTATTCGATGAAACTGAACTAAATATTTGACCTCAGTTCAGTTTACTAACATTTTGTGGCAGCAGGGTTACAGACTGGAGGAGTGTGATGATGAATAAGACTCTCATCATCTGAAGGGCCTCAACTGTTGCACCAGACTGTTCCTTCACAGAACTAAGGCAACAACCAGCAAGCAACCGTGCATCTGCAATTAATTTAACACACTCTTTGCACTATGGCCTAACCTAACAGTACTCTCTTTACCCACATTTTCTTGCTGCTCTACTGTGATGCTGCTGCAAACTCTTACCACTGCTGCTGCTGCTGCTGCTGCTTGTCCAGGTATCATCTCTGCAGCTCCACCTGTCTTGGAGGAAACATGAGTTCATCTGTGTGTCACCTTCCGGCAACATGCAGCAGTTCAGCTGATTGGTTTGTTGTTTCTGCTTCTCTTGCTGATTTGCAGAAGGAGTCAGTTAGTTCTTGAGTGCCACCTGCAGGTTGGTTGGTAGTGTTTACTCTTCTGGGACTCCCATTGGCTGGGAGACGTCATAAAACTAGATTTTCAAATCAGTAACAGGGAAAATAAAAACAATATGAAGTATCGATATCAACACAGATGTGATATTTTTAATTGTTAAAAGCAGCTAATAAACTGTCATGTAAGGAAAATAAACCGGTCAGGATTATTAAGGTGAATTTATTATTGATAGGATGCTTATACAAGTATTTATATGCAACAAAATATGAATTAATTCCCACTAAATCTAAAACTAGACAGTCTTTTAGAATAAATAATTCATTGTGTGACTTCTCAGAACTATTTCTGTGTTGTGTGTATGAGCTACTGCATTTAAATCAAATACAGCAGCCCCTAGAGGAGCAATAATGTGTCCAGGATGTGATCCAACGTGTGATCTGTCCGTTTATTGCTCACTAGAACGGCAATAAATAGTCAATAATTGATGGTAGATTGAGAGAAAATGAATCAGTGACTTTTTAACCATTCCTCATCTTTATTACTTCTGATTTTAATCCTTTTGTAAATCAAAAATATTAAATATTTACTAGTTCTGGCTTTTAAAATGTGAGAATGAGGCTTTTCTTTGTTATATATGATTTTTAAGTGGCTATTTTTGTGTTTTGTACAATTTTATTTTATTTTTTTTAACTATTTGAGATTTTGTTGTTGCCAAAAACTTTAAAAGCACTCTGCTCAAGTTACAGCCCTCGTATTACCTACAAATTTTGTAGCTCTAATCATTGAAGTTTGACCTTTTATTTGGTTGTTTCTTCACAATATTGCTTTCATGTTGTCGATTAACTTCGTGGTGAAATACGCTGTAAAGTTGAGGTGGTTTGAGTCTCCAGAAGAGAAATACTGTACTGGGTTGCGACATGAACAGTAGTTTCCCAACCTGTGATTCAACGCAAAGCAAAGTGACAGAAACACGCTCAGCAGGGGTGGATACTGTAAACACAGCCGATACGCTCCAACACCGTTAAACCGTCGCTGATCCTTCAGATGTTTTTTTTTTTCCTTCTTTCTCTTTCCGCTTCGTTTACTTTCCCTTACTGTCACTGTACGTCTCACCCTCGTGTCATTTTCTCTCCCTTCTCCTCCTTTTTTTTCTCGTGCACACTCCTTTTGTCTCTCCACCCCTTTCACAGAGAAACCAGAGCTGTCAGGACTTGCTGAGCAAAGTCGAATTCTCACTGGGGCCTGTCTCTGGGTGTGGCTCTCTGTGTGTGCATGTCATAATTTATGACTCACGTCTGTGGATCTTTGTGTTCTTTTATCAACTACGTTCCTCAGAGTTCCTGCATTCGTGGGCATGGGTGTGTTTGGTAGCAACTTCTGCGAGCGTAAACACAACCAGGAACATTATTTGCATACAGACTGTAACTGAACTTTATCCTTCACTTTAATAACACTGTAAACAAAGACACTAGTGATTCATCTCGGGGTGATTCACTTTTGGTTCTAAAGTAAAATTTCACAAGCTTGTATGATAAGTTTATGTTTACTTCTAGTTAACCATAGCAACCTTAACCCTCTTTTAATCCTAAAAACTACAGATGAATAATAAAACATTTGGCAAAGTGTGTGCACACAAACTATAAAAAAAGAAAAGTCCCCGGGATCATTTCCTCCAGCTTTATGTTCCTCTCCCACCCCTCAGACATATAAAAACAGCTGCTGCATTTTAAATGAAAGTGGAACCGCTTCAAATAAAAGAAACTCTTTATTGCATAAAAATACACAGACTACAAAAAATAATTCATACTACAGCAGAAAAACCAGCTGGAATTTCCAATGAGACATTCCCTATAGTACAGTAATGATTTAAAATGCTGGCGTTGAAAACAGACTCATTCCCACAAGTAAAAGCATGTTTTCACCTCGACCTCCGGGACATGCAGTTTAGTGTCTTCAAGTGTAAAACTGCCCGTTTCCGGACAGATTACCAGTTAAAATTATAAAACCAAAGGAGCTTTTTAAGCAGACATTTGCTGCGTAAACAGCGTAAAAGAATCCAGGTCAGATCATTAAGTTGGATTATGGCCACGTATCAAAAATCAGCTGTCGCTTCTCTTTTATCATCCTCCAGTTGCAAATTTCTCTTTTAAAAGTCTTTCCTTTTAATTAAAGAAAAAGTGATTTGATCTTGTTTGGGCATGAACAGAATTAGTCAGTAAAACCAGACTGACCAGTTGGATTGAACATTCGAGGTTTCAATAACAGAAGAAGAAGAAGAAGCTAAGGCACAGGTTTTACACACAGCGAGTCCGACGATTGTACAACTTGGCCTCAGAATCTCAACCAGCCAACACAGGGTTAGCCAAACTGGCATCATCAGAACCTAGAAAATAGATGTTTGGTTGTCTGTCTGCGACTAAAAAATGATTTATCTTTCCCTCTGAATGCGCCTACACTGAGGCGACAAACATGAAAAAAAACACAGAATTAGCTTCTAAATTTGTCTTGTTCCCTTTAAACCACAATTTTGACATCATTTATTAAACAAGGCAGTTTGGACCATCTCGAAAATTTTCATTTACAGGTTGTAGAGCGACTCTTCTCTGGAAGGGAATATTGCAAAAAGAAAAAAAAATCATTTGATCAAATTGGAAAAACTGAGTAGTCAAGAACATTTTTGAGTAAGACTATGGTTAAAGCATAGCGGAAATTCGTCTTAAAAAATCTGCTTCCCGTTCAATTCAAGAACACCTCTTCTTCTTCCTCCGTGTCACATGAAGCGTCGCACCACACGTCTACTCATGAATTATTATCAGCGTTCACAACACGTCCAACGACAGCACGGCAAACTCCCACAGCTACACCCCCTTTGGTAATAATAAGAATACAAAACTCTGGAGACAAACAGCAGATAAGAAAAACGCGTAAAAAGGTGCAAACACGACTGTTAAAACTACATGTACAGTTCTATATATGTGTAGATTACATTCAGCTTCTGAGTCCAAACCTTTGCTTCCTTCTTACCTTATGCACAACAACATATTGGGAAAAAAAAAGACACACGACGAAGAAAAACTAATTTAAAACACAGGACAAAACCAAACGATGGATTTATCTTCCAGCCTGTGCAAAAAAACATTCCAGATTTTAGGAGATAAATCAGGTGAAAGCTATGTTTTTTGTTTAGTTTGTTTTACACCTAATCACCTCCTTTAAGTTAAGCGCACTTGGGTGATCTTGCATTGAGAGTTACAGTTAAAAAGTACAGTTAAATTGAGGAATATGTTTCATGTGGAGAGGAGAAGAAAAAAAAAATGGTATAAAACATTTCTGGAGATGCCGACTTAATCTAAAATAGAGGTTTGTACACTTTAAAGCAACATCCAATCACAGTCCACTCCAGTTAGAATCCCTCCTCGCTTTCACTCTTTGGATGGTCGGTGAGGGGCTTCCCATTGCTGAACCAGGATTATCTGAACTAAGCCATCGCGGATCTTTGGTGAAATGGTACAGTGTAAAAATGTTCAACGGCCAGCGCAGATCCAGCTCGAGAGTGAAAAGCGGAAATGGCTGTAACTGGGTGGGGTGTGCAGGGTTTTTTTCTTTCTTTCTTTTTGGTCTTTAAGCACTGGAATAGATGTATTTGACCTTGGCGTTGCCGCTCAGCTCGTCCTCATAACGTGGCAGGCAGCAGAAGAGGATGGCGCAGCCCAGGCAGAGGATGGTGGCGCCCCAGCCAAAGCCGTAGGCCCAGGTGTAGAAGTAGTTGCCCTCGAAGATCAGCTCGTTGAATTTGACGGGGTAGATGATCAGAGCGATGACCTGAAAGATGACTGCGGAGAGAAAAACAAGGTTTGAGTGCACGGCTCGGTGTGGGAGAGGCTGGATCAGTTTAACCGTCATCAGAACTGGATTTTAATGACACTAAGATGTGATTGGTGTTCAAAAACACTTCACCTGTTCCCCTCCCAGAGCATCACGAACCAGACAGAAAAGCTCAGATTGAACTCTGTCATGAAATAACTGTTTAATTCAAAAGCTGATTCTGAAAGCCAGTTTTCTGGGCCTTGAACCCTCCAAACACAAAAAAAAAACATCAGAAAGTTTGAAAGACGACTTATAAGAGCCAGAAACTGCAAAAAAAAACAAAAACAGAAAGAACTGACAGATTTTTAACTTTTCTTCTTATCTCATGACATTTTACCAAAATCAAAATATCTCATTAAAAAAAAAATTAGCCAAAACTAAACATTTTGCAGCCAGTTTCTAATAAAGACAAAAAAATTCTGCACTTCTGGATGCTGCTGTGAAGCCGTCGGTCACTCTGCTGTGACTAACAGTCTTGTGAAAATAAATCAGGGACTGATTTATTTTCTGCAGGATGTGTTTTCACTGAGCTGATAAGAGACAAGTATGTAAGCAAATTAAAAACATAGTGGCACCATCTCTTTCCAGAACTGGTGACACATGTGGGAACTTGTTGAAATGATAAAATGAAAACTTCTTTTTGGATTGTTAAGCACTGTATAAAAAGAATTGGTGTCATTTTTATTTGAAGATTAATACGTACAGAGATAATTCTACATGTTAACATCTGAACAACGAAGCTGAACAATGGTAACCTATGAAAACACTGTATTGTTTATTCTAGATATAACTCCATGGAACATTCGCTTGAAAGATGATGAATGACATTTTACTTCCAGAGAATAACACACACACTATATATATATCAGATTGATCAGATAAGGAGGTCATTATAATTCTACCACCTGCTGGAAAATTTGACAAAATTGATGGAAAGAAAAACCTATTTATGAATAAATAACTGAATGACAAGCTGGAAAAACTTTTTAAAGCCATTAGAGAAAGCAAGAGAAACGAAAGGCGACACGCTCAGTGAGTCGTGTACGGGGCCGAGCAGACACTAACAGCTGGGTGTGGAAAATACCTTCACAAGCGACTGCAAGAGTTACGTCAACATATCGGCTCTGGCACTGATCGCTGCCTGTCACTGTTTCCACACAATTATTCTCCACAAACGCTCTGATTTGCTATTCAATGTAGTTTCCTGTGACAGAATAATGACAAAATACCAACAACAAAAAAAGGATAAAACTATTATTTTGCTTTGGCTGTTGTCCTCTAATGTGAAGTCAGGACAAAGCAGAGAGTGACTCGACTTCTTCACTTCATCTCAACACACACTCATAAATCAGAAACACACCAATAATCTATATATTTCTGCTCCATCAGCTCTCTCTCTAAGAAGTGTGTAACCACTAACCTCAATATCTATACGCTGCTGCATGTTAACAACTGCAAAATGACCTCAAGGTTTGTAAAACCTTTATTTTCACCTATTTGCTGCAAATTGCTGCTGGCTGTTTTCCACCATTAAGTGTATTTTCCAGCCTTCCAGGCAGCCGTGGTTTCATTTCATGCCCGTATGTTACTAAAAGCAACTTGTGGAGACTTAACACGGGACTTATTAAGAACCTCACTTATCACCTAAAGTCTTGCGGTTAGTTCTGGCACCCTGAATTCACAGGATGGGTGCCAAACTTCCTGGAAAACAATCGAAGTTACCAACGAAATACTTGTGAATCACCACATCTCAGTAAATGTTTCCACATAACTTTTAAATAATAGGAGGTATTTTGTGGAAGTGCCAAACTTTTTGAGCCCGCTGACGTGTCGGCGGGTTAGTCGTTAGAAACTAAGTTTCCTCAAACACCAATAACTTCACTTTTCAAAGACAGCTAGTGAAATGTGGAACGGTGCATGAAAAATAAATAAAAATAAGAATATTTCCATTTTATGGCAGTCATAAAAGCTACCGACTCCTGGGTTTGACTCAGTGTAAGCATCTTATAGCTTCACTGAAGAGCAAACGCTGCCTGTGATAGTGTCAAATAATTCCCCTTAAAGACACTTAAGGGAAAAAATAGCTGTTAAGGGCTCAGGAAGGCCGCTGTGGCACTTCTAGAACAAGGATGTTGATTATTCATATCCTCCAGAGACAGGGGATCTCAGTTTCAAGAATTGTTGTGTTGATTAGATAAAAGCACTAAAGAGGGATACTGTAAGTGTACTTATAATCTTTCTGGCATTTTTCTCTTCCTTTTATTTTTTATCCTCCTGACTGAGTCATTTGCGACACCTTCATAGAAGCTGTAACAGCGTGAAACAAGTTCTAACTACTTAGAACTCCCTCTGGCACATTTAAAATAGACATCGCAGTAGATGTGAATCACGACTGGCGGTTTCACCTGCATGTCTGCCGCTGAGGAGCCGATTGTGTACGTTTGTGTGTTTGTTCCTCATCTCAGAATCTCTTTGGGGTGAGTCAGTCGGATTAACAGACGACACTTTCGTCCAACATGCAATCATCATCGTCATCTTGACTCATTTCTATGTGGAAGACTTATGTCGCAGATATCCTCCGTCCCTCCCATGTATGATCCATCCCTTCTAAAGAAAAACTTGTACTTTCATCCCCCTCATCCCTTCTATACATAAGGCTAACTTTTGTTCCTCTGCCTCACCTTAATGTCTCATCTCTTTCAGTCTGTTGACACCCCATGTTCCCAGAACAATGACAACTAACGCATTAAGGAGGTTTCAAAAAGTCTTAATTTGTCGATTTTGCAAGAATATTTTTCAGTTAAGACATTACAAAAAAAACCCCAAAACATCCAGTGTGGTTTGTAAAGCCAAAAGATAAAGGCTGGGAAAACTAAATCCAGAATAAAGCACTGATGAAAATGTGTTTGTAGCATAAAAACACTGAAAGTTCATTTAACCTGTGGTCTTTTTCGCTTATTGATGACTATGACAGTGTTTACTACGGCAAGAAAATGTTATTTGGGAAGTTGTTTCACTCAGAAAAAGGTGAGTTTTGTGTTTGTTGCTCTCAAAATCAGATTTAAAAATCTAAAAAAATAATATAAAAATCTTCTCGGGCAATCAGAATTTGTGTTTTTGAGAAGAATAAAGCAGATTAGGTGCCTGAAACCCTCCTGTTGTGTTTGTACTTCATTAGAAAATGAAAGTAGAAATGTACTTCTTGAAACAAAGCCCTGGTCAGTTGGTAAAATCCACAGAGCTCGTTGGTAAAAGACGACTTCAGGGGTTGAGATCTAAAGACTCACAAATAAATACCTTAAAATGTCACCAAGCAAGCTGCTTGGCGGGTTTAAAGATGGAATATTATGCACTGTGAAGACCAGACGAGTGCTTGTTATCAGTTTGAGCTAATTTAGTCGTTTATGGCTGAGTGTTGCTCTTTATGTAATTAGAGCTAATTTAATTTCTTAACGAAGTACAGCTAAAACAGAAGGATTTCAGGCTCCTACTCGTTTTTATGTACCTCAGAAGCAAAATAAAAGTGTCTTCTCAGGTACTACAAGCTCCATTTAAATACTTATAATTAATTTCCAGATGTGTTGGTGAAGACAAACACAGAAACTGGCTGTTTGTGTGCATGTGCCTCCGTGTGGAAGCGTTTACTTACCAACAATGATCAGCAGAATTCCCACGACGGGCAGCATGCCGATGTTGAGGTTGCACATAGCCAAAACGGAGAGGATGAAGGCGAGGATGAGGATGATTAGGCCAATGATCATGAGAGCAGCGACGGCCTGGGCCCAAGCTGAAGGTCAACAAAAAAAAAAAAGAAAAAGGAAAAGTTAGGGTCACGCTTGCAAACTGAGATAAAAACCTGAAAAGTCATACGTTAGGTTTTCCAAGTTGATTTTCTTACAAATAAACTCTCTAATTATTACATTAGGACTGTCCTAACACCACAGTCCAGATGGAAGAGCTGATAAAATGTCGTTTTTATAGGGTTTGGACTTTTTTTTGCCCTGAGTTTTGGCTGTCAGGCTACACACAGGCTGCTCTGCCTTAGTCGGCAACGGTTTACAGTTTTACACAGGGTTTACTGTAGCTGGCTTTGTTTTTTAGGTAAAGTTTTTGTATTTATAGCCCTTAAAAAGACACATTAAATGATCATCCAACACTATTCTAAAGATGTGAATAGCACGTAATATTACAGATTACAGATTTAGGGTTAGCACCTCACTCATTCTGTTTTTCTCCTTCCTATCACCACTTCAATGTGAACCCCTGAAACTAAACCATGCACATAATCAAAGCTGCTTATTATACCATATTTTGTGTGTGGCTGAAGGGTAAAATGTGTCCATATGTAATTATGTTTGATTGATCCATATGTAGTTTTCTGGTAGATGTTGTTATGCAGCTCTGAGACGAGTTAATTGTGCAACGTGACAAGGCGGTATTTAGTCATTACTGCAGCTCTAAAGAACGCCTTCTCACCACCGGCAGCTTGAACTCATGACAGCACAATCTGCAAAGCTAGTGAGAGGTTGACTTCAATAAAGACGGCGACACACCCGCCACACCCTCAACAAAACTTCACGTTTCTGCGACGTCTCTTGTGTAATTCTAACGAACTTGTAGCAGAAATGAGACGTAAGACACACACATGATTTTTTGATTTTTGGAAAGAAAACCAGTTGAGAGGCCGGACAGAGTAGCACACCCGTTGTGTCATGTGAAGGTGCTGCTGTGTGCATGTATCATCATCTCTGTCAGGAACTGCCTCTAAAAACACCTGTACAATGTGTTCAACAGGTTTCACGTGCATCTAGGATTAAAATAAACACTAAGCATCGAGGTTGATGCAAGCACGCAGAATGACGATCAGTCACACAAAGATTACTGCAGGTAATCTGCACATTTATACATATTCTGAGACCAAACTGTGTGTCACCGTGTGGACTTCCAAAGAACTGTTCCACCCAGTTCGCTGATACTGGATCAGCCAACACCTTAAATTATTCACAGCTATGCATGTGTGTGTGTGTTCAGGTAAAGCCCTACCTGCCTCAGCCAGAGGCAATCCTCCCATCATGCACACATCAGACTAGTTGGACAGGTTCAGTCTTCTCCCACAGTCACAGTAATACTAAGTGGCAGTCAGACTCCAAAACAACACTCTGCTGCTCTTCACTCCACGGCAGACTCTCAAACACGGTCACGTTGAATTTAGAGGACTGAGTTCAGACTCATCCTGAGCTTCATAAACTTATTACCACTGAAGTTTTATTCATGTGAAGGGGAGAGAGTCTTATTCAGAGTTATAGAGGCAGAACTCTGAAGATTTTTTATTAAAACTAACACAGATGTAGGAAACAAAAGCAGCTGTACATTGGAAAGGTTTTATCTTCACTCTTGATTCTCTTTGTTAGGAATTAGATGATCGCAAACATGTATGAATTAGATCAATAGCAAAGCAACACAGCACATCAATGACTGTCGATAACAGTTAAAAACAGCCATACAGTGACAGAAATCCGCTTCCTAGACATAAAGATTTAGTTACAATAGTCCTGTTCACAGTATTAGGTTGTTGTTTTCCCAATGAAAACACAAAAATCAACATTTTGATTAAGTGTCATCAACATAATTGATGATAAAATTACAAGCTGTGATGTTTGGGCTCATAAAGTATTTATTATCCAAACTTCTGGGTCACTTTTCAACTTACAATGTCCACATTCATGAACTAAACAAAGACAGATGACGTACTGCCTTTAAAATGATTTTTTGTTTGAGGTTCTGGGAGCTGATTTAGAAACCAGACATAATATAAATTCAAATCAGATGTGTCTGACACACTGCTGCATCCTCTGAGCTCCAAAACCCACCAGAAGGTTTGAAATCTGCATAAATTACCCAATTTATCAGAGGCAGGCGCCGTAAAAACAGAAAGAACTGTCAGATTTTCAACTTTCTGATGGTCCTTGAACCAAACGTGTGTGACGGAAGAGTAACCAAGACTAAGCTTAAAATTGGGAATTTCAATCTACATGTCCCATTTAAACATTTGCCAAAAATAAACTGTTTACTCAAACCAAACTTGACTGAGCTGCAACCAACAGATGTTTGGCTGAACTGCAGGCAGTGTATCCACCGAGCAGATATGAGACAGTCGTGGAAAGAAAAGAAAACACCTTGGAAATAATCAAAGAAATTAAACTTTGCTTTTCTTTTTAAATAATATCTTTGGCTTTGTAACTTTCATGTCATGTGCCGTTTCAGGTGCAGGACTTCATACTGCGGTGAAAAGTGAGCTTACAGTGACTAAAAACATGACACGAGCAAAAACCACTAAACTACTTGGAGTTCAGAGGGTTAACTAGTTTGCCGTGAACCTCATTCACGCCAGTCCAACTCGCTATATGCAAATATCTGGCATTTGGCCTCAGGCGCTGTGTCATCTTTTTTTTTTTTTTCGCTGCCAGATTTTCTGACTGGTGTCCTCAAAGTAACCGAGGAGGATATTTTGGCAGGTGATTATTCTGCCTGTAAAAACACGCTTCTTTATCTCCTCTTACTTTTCCCAGAGAGCTGGTGTCTTGTCTTGGCTCTGTATAAGGTTTGGTTTAGGTATGGGAATAAGAAATTTAACCAAGAAGCATTTTAACTTCATCTAGAAAGATTTGTTTTCTCGTTGGTATATTTTTTTACAATTGGTTTTCACAAAGGACCAAGTTTTCTCATCCAAAGACTTGAATAACTGTTTGGATAATTGGCTAAATCCACAGTTGCTGAAACAATCAATTGCTGGCAGGCTCCTTCTGTGCACAAAGGGCTCTACAGCATAGCATTGTTTCATTGTGTTTAGATGGCAAATCTTTTTTTTTTTTTTAAATACAGAATGTGAACATATCTGGGTGTGTCATCAGCGAGCACCAGAACTGTCTGTCCCCGTCACTCCTACCTGACACCATCCAGCTGTCCAACATCTGCTTCCCCCCCTCTGATCAGAACTGAGCTGCTTTTCTACATCTATAAACTATCACTACATCCACCCAGGAAGCCTACTGCAGCTTTACTAAAACCGCTCCTACGAATTCAACAAACACCCGCCGGCTTTCCTCGGCCTCTGACAAATGTGTTTGTTCTACAAGTAGGGAGATTTTTCTGAACCTTCAGATCTGGTCTTACAGTCAAAGATCATTTTCATCAAACCTCTTAGAAGAAGGCTTTCATACAGGCAGCGGGGATCAACTCGACGCCCCGCGCTCCCCTTGAAAGGCTTTTAATGGGACACCTGCCCAACCAGCAGGGCTGCTGCTGGAAACACAGCACCAGTGTTTGAACTCATTCTACGGAAAGTCTACCTGCTTGGTGAAAATTTAGCTGCGCGTAATGCATCGACATGTGCCGCTATAGATAAGAATACACTGCTTCAAAAGTGTGCGCACTCGTAACACAGAGGAGGGAACCACTGCTGCTCCGGTATCGGTACCTTAAATCGATTTACACCATCTGAACTGTGCTTTCAAATGAGGCATAGTTTGTCACCTTTCAGTCAGAACACGATTTGTTCCGCACGCAGTCTGGGAAAGAACGAAAGGTTTAAATCAAGGCATTTCATCAGAAGTGACGCAAAAAAATCAAATGTCGCCTTAAAGCTGCGCCGCTAATCCACTCGCAATCTTGCAAATGGATGATCTAAACGCACTCAAAAGCATTAAAAGGCTTTACGAAAGTTGCACCACATTGCCCAACCCTTGGCAACCCCCGTGTCGTGATTCATATTAAACCGGTCATTATCTGATTCTGATAAATTTCTCAGATGACGTACACGTGCTAAAGGCTCGGAAACATGTCTGCTCATGTTGGTCGCGTGAAAGCAGCTGGGAGTATCGACACAAAGAAAAAAGGCCTGAACGCTCCCAATGGGAGTTTGCTTACGACATCCTGCTTCCGTACACGCCGCTCATGTTTGTTTCCTCGGTTTTCAGAACAATACCAAAAGTGTGGAGGCCAGAAGAACAACGGGGCAACAAAAAAAAAAAAAAGTATCCTACAAGCAGCCCAGTAGCCGTTTGGCTGCTGTCTTTTGTTTAATTAATTCAACCCTGCTGAGAATAAAGGAGGCCAGAACAGGCGCAGAGCAGAGTTCAGAGAAAAATAACCAAACTACTCGAGGGATCAGAGAATTCCTGACGAATACAGCAGCTTGTGTTTTCACATGCTGGATGTATGATAGGGTTACATTTATGAAAACTAAAGAGAAACATCTGTCTTTACTGTAATAACTGTTTAGTTCACACTGATTATTGCTGCTGCTCGGACGCTTTACTGCTGCTGTCACAGAGCTGAGCACGATGGCTAATGTTTCCATTATGTATTTAACAACTGTTTTCTCAATTAGTCCATATATAGGGACAAATATAATTGATAAAAACAATGTTGATCACAGTGTATTAGACCCCAAAGTCTTTAAATGAATGTTTGGTCTCATCAACAGGCCAAAAGCCCAAAAATATCCACGATATAAAAACAGAGACAAGCAAGAAAATCCTCACAAATATTTCTTTTTGCTTATTTAAAAAGTAAAAATTTACTTTCTTTCATGATGTCAGCTGTAATTCCAGCAGTAAACCGTCACAAAAATGCACATTTTGGAACTGACTTCTTAAAAAAGGAGTCATTTTACTGTGAAGATCTTTTTTTTTTTTTTTAACACTGACAACAATTTCTGCTGCGACTACACATCAGAATCATTGTCAATATTACTTGTCGGGTTTCTACTGTAGCCGTATTCCAGCTCACGTATTTTTATTCTCAGCCAGTATCACACTTATATTGCTGCATTCATTCTCTGGTTATGTAATTTCTTCACTTGGTTATCTTATCTTACATGTTGCAGAGTTATAGTGGGCAGTGCTGTAATGTTTATGTCTTTATTCAACAGAATTACAGAGAAAACGATGACGACAACAAACCAGATGTGGCCTTCAGGTTGGGATTCAACATGGTTTATATACTGTTTGTAGCAACACACATATTTACCAGGAATGCTAAGTCTCTGCAGAATAGTTTATAGCATTAATATTTAGTGCAGAAATAGACAGCAGAAGATGAGAGTTGGACTACTTTTTTTTAACCGAGCTTGTACAGGCTGTGCATTGCAGATCCCAACATGGAGCCGCATGCCATTACCCAAACTAGTCAACGACCTCCACGGCGGCTGATAAGAGCAACAGTGCTTTCTTTGTTTGGGACTGAGGGTGTGGAACAACACATATACAACCTGAGCAGGAGAACACCAGCCTGTTCTGTTCATAGTCATTGATCTCAGCAAGCTTCAGTTGGAAAACCTCATAAACAGCTTCTCTATGAAAAGCCATATCTGAGCAAACACGTCTGACTGACAGCCATCTTGAAATCTGCTCCTCATTTGCGTTTTTTTGTGGGAACGCGGTGAGAAAAATACTTAAAATGTTTCGAATGTGCTTTGTTTGTTTTCCCTCAGAGCAGTTTTACAGGAATGAGGTTTGTTTTAACCTTTTCAACTCTGCTGCTCTGAACTCTAAGTAATTTCTGGGCGTTCTTGTTTTTTTGTTGTTTGTGACATATTTCCACAGAGATCCCCCTAATTATTTAGAAAACATGCGTTAGTCCCCTGAAGTAACAATGTGAAAGAAGCGAAGGATTCCTACTTTCAACAGACGTGTACTCATTGTGCCTGAACTGTGTGATAAATAAAATCATCTGCACCATAAATTGATGCAGAAAATGCACAGATTGCTGCATCGGAAAGCAGGAAATTCAGTGTTTAAAGCTCACAACCATCCCAAACTTCTGCTAAATGTGTCTGCAGCAATGATTTTAGTAACATTGGTTGGAATTAATCGCTGCATGTTGTGTTTTCTTCACCAAAAAAACAACTCAATGCAGCAGGAGAGTAAAAATAAATGAAAATACTCATTTCAAATCCAGTGTATGTTTGAATCAGCTCATATTTAACCACTATTTATACTAAAACCAGATTAAAGAAGAGCATTTTCCGGCAGTAGTAAGCGTCAGAACAATTCAGTTATATTTATACAGCTCACAACTTGAGTCACCTCAGGGCACCTCACACAGCAAGGCCAAGGCCTCACTACATCATCTCATAGAGAGAAAACTGACTATTCTATTTGAGCGAGCACTCAGTGACAGCGTGAGCAAGGTTACAGGTTTTCTACGGCTAGACTTTATAGCTGGATGTGTTGCGTAAAAGCAGTTTGAATTTAATTCAGCGTCGCTGCTCTCATAACTCCAACAAAGGCTTCGGTTAAGCAGAAGACACAAACAGGTCAGAGAGTCAAGGAGAAAACTGAGCAATGATTCAGGTTGTTTTGCTTTTAAACTTTGTGTTTTGATTTTTTTCCTCGCTTACTGCATAGATTTGTGGGGGTTATTTTTTTTTCTATTTGTGATGTTCTCAAATGGGCGACACAAGAAAACAAACTTCACAAGGTGGAGATGTTTCATGAAATGTTTCTCCTCTTGTTGAGAAGTTAACTGGAGGAGCTTTTTGTGCACCATCCCATGAACCATCCCTCCTTTTCTTCCTCTCTCTCTCCTTCTGCACCAGACAGAAGATGATAAAAAAAAAATGGAGTTAATCATAGTGGAGAGCAAAGTTCATTTTGCTTGACTGCCTGCGGTTGGATAAGTGTTGCAGGCCTCCCTCCTCCCCTCAGCCTGCTGGGAGTTTCTGGTTATCAGAGGTCGACTCCCTCAGGTTGCAATGTGTTGGATTTCACAGACACACGCTGACTAAGGAGCTGTTATCGCCTCTATTAACATCATCCCATTCGCTCTTTCGTTTTTGGTAATCTTAGAATAATGTTTTCTATCATAATAATGTTTTGTGGTGCAAAGATCGGACACTTACAGTACTCCATGAGCGACTTGCACTCCCAGTTGTCATTCCTGCCTCGGCACTGGTCCCACATACTGGCGTAGTGAGTCTTGGCGTCCTCGTCCTCGACCCATCCCGACTGGGCGGCGATGGCGATAATGTCAAATATGATGGCGAAGACCAGCAGCAGGGGCACGATCCACCTGCATCGAGGGTAGGCGATCCCGCAGCGGAACATGACCGACGATCTGAGTGCTTGGAGCGGCGGAAGAGAGAGAAGGACGAGCGGCTGGGCGAGAGGTGCGCAGAGTTTCTAGTCCGTCCCGGTGCTGGCGTGCGTCTTTGCGCAGAGCTGAATGTGAGCGTCTGAGGTGTGGATACGAGATAAAAAAGCGTCAGCCCCACCCGAGAGTGAAATGCAGCCGTCAACCAGGTTTGGGACCTGAAGGGCTGGGCTTGTTACAGAGGCTGAATCAGGCCCAGCCCAGCTGACTGTGTCATATTACACACCGAGGAAACACGCAAGAGCCGCCGGGGAGCCACTTTCACCTCAGTCCTGACGCCCAGAAATGATTTTTTTCCCAATGCGTCAAGTTTGAGTTTCTAGCCGAAGGATTACAACAGGTTGGTAAGTAGTTAGGTAGGTAGAGGACTGAGAGCAGGTGGTGGGTGGAGGGAGGCGAGGCAGGGAAGGAGAGAGAAGGCAGGAAAATGACAGAATGGTGAGGCACCGCGTCAAGCTGCCACTAGATGGCGACCCAGCTCAAACAAGAAAAAAGTTCTATTTAATAATAAATAAGAAATACAGAGGAAGAAAGAAAAAACAGCACCAGGAAGACTTTTAATATTGGAAACATGTCTGCATCCACCTTTAACCTTGACTGATCCCAATGCACCTTGGTGGATTTAATGAATGGACAATGCTGCCAAAGTGTCTGTGTCACCCTGATGTAGTCACATATGAATAAACAACACCCACTGATTGTTGCTCAACTCTTTATTTGTGACTATTTTATCTGTTTAACTCTTTTTTTTCTTCAGTCTGAGTTGATGCCAAAAGGGAAAAAAGGAAAGATTTTTTTAAAAAGAAGGTTCGTGCAAATGGTGCCCAAAATCTCCAACAACATCCTTCCCGAGTTAACTTTAAATCCTCAACACTGGGAAAAAAAAAAACCTGTCCTGAAATATTTCCATTTCCTTAAGTTTGTTTGTCTGTGTCGCTCAACATTTGCAGTCAACATGACAAGATAAAAACAAATATAAATCATCTACAACAGACAAGCTCAAGTGCCGTAAGAGCCACAAATGGAAGGAGGCAGTCAGAAAAATTCAACACACAGGAAGTTTAAAAGCAAAAACAAACAAACAAAAACCACCACATATGAATCTTTGCTCCCCTTTTGGTTTAATCTGACATCTGTTTGTATCTTCAAACTCTATTGATTACATGATTAGCCTTATTTAAGCTAAATTTAAACTTTCTTTTATTATAATTTCCTTGATTTTTAAAAAATATTGAAATAGTTTAGTCATCATGACATCTGTAGCAGTGTAGTAAAGTATGTGCTTTACTTTGTCATAGATGGATTCACTGCTCTTTCTTTGAGCTGCTGCCAATAATTAATTTTAAAGCCTTTGACCTTTGACATACCACCAACGTGCCAATATCGTTGTGCGTCCCTGCTGGATGGAAAGATAAATATTGTGTTTTTATTTGTCACATTAAATCTGATGATTTTATGACTTGTGATTTACTGGCTTTTATTTTGCTGCCTTGTAAAACGCTCTAAGTTTTATTTCAAAAGGTGCTCCATAAATATTGATTATTGTTATTATATTAGACAAATCTTATAAAAGCCTTGATTGGCCGATAGCAATGACAAAATTTATACTGAATGATACTGAAAAAATGCATATA